CCAGCTTTTCCTCCTCAGAGGGAGCGAGCTGAGCTCGGCAGCGTGGCTCTGTGTGCACACCACTGTCCCCAGCCCCACTGACGTTCCCCTGTCTGTCCTGACAACGCTGCACTGGCACATTCGTGTGTGAAATGTATTTCATGCCTCCTCCTTCATTTTAAATTAGAATTTCTGTTCCAAGCCTGATATTCATTTTTATTCATTAGAAAAACATCTTTAAACATCTGAGAGTCTTTCTTAGCAGTGTAATTGAATTTTTGTGTGTTTATATCCTTTTTCATGAATTTGTGGCTGACTATGAAATTTGCCATTTTTACTCTGAACATCCCATGAAATCTGTTATCATTCTGTGTGATTTACACAAAGCTCTGCCTGCAGCCCAGCAGCAGGTGAAATATCGAGGCACTGACAGAAGGGAAAGACACAGCAAATGTCACTTTTTCCCTATACATCAGCGTCAGCTGTAATTCACGTCCGGTGTCCGTGGAGAGCATGAGTTGCTGTCCAGACCGATGTGGCCCAGCTCCCTCGCAGCGTGTTGGGATGCATTAGCTCGGGGTGACGGGCACAGGCAGGCTGTTTCAGCCCTAACATTCACTGTGTCAGCATCCCAGGGCTCAGGACTCCCCGAAGCTGAGCTCCTGGCAGAGGTGCTTGTAGTGAGGGTCTGCAGATCGAGGGTCCCAGCGATGCCTAAACAGATAATGCATCCCTCTGGTTTCTTTGTACCACCACATCCAAATCAAACCCGGTATCTTCTCCTCCCTTCCCTTCTACCCTGCTGAGTCCCACAACCGGTAAGGTAACAATGTAAGGCGGTGTCACGCTGGGCAAAGCAATAGTGATGCGCCTTGTTTGTCCCCAGCTGCTGGAGGCCATAAGCCAAGGGAGTCAGAGCAGGCGCCAGCGACGCCAAGCAGACAGACTCAAGCCCTACATTGCTGCTCAAGTGGATGTGCTGCCCGAGACCTTCACTCTGGGGGACGAGAAGAACTACAAAGGTTTCTACAACAAGCCCCTGTCTCAAGACCTGAGCTACCGCTGCTTTGTGCTGGCCTCACTGGAAGATGGAGACACGGTAAGGACTTTCTGCTGGGGGGGCACACAGCCTTTCCTCGCAGAGCTGAGGTGGGCTCAGTGCAGGCAGGGTGAACAATTACTGCAAGCAGGGATGATGGAGTTTTCTCTGAAGAGAAGAGAGTGAGGCTGTGTAGACGTTGTCAGCAAGCCGAGGCAGCCGTGGGAGTTGACTTGATAGATGGTGTTTTTGGAGGGAAATGGCACGTATGTTTGACATAACAGATGAGAGTGGAGGGCAGTGTCAACACACGCGTTCTACACAAGCTCGGTTCTGGCTTGCTGGGCTGTGCCCAGAGCAGAGCTTGACACATGGTTGGAATGGGATAGGTTCTCATTCTGCTTTGGTTCAAGTAAGTGACTGTGGAAAACAGCCCCTTGAAATCCTACCCTGCACAGTGGCTGCTGAGGCTCTGCAGTGAAGAGGATGCTCCCCCTGCAAACCTGCCTTCACAGGCCCGTCTCTGGCCAGAGTCTCACTTCCAGATGATGTCTGGAGAAGCAAACCAACCTGCCTCCCATTGCAGTGAGTTGTCAGCAGGGCAAAGCTGCGCATGTGCATGCTGTGTAGGGATTCTTGCTCCTGTGCCTCTCCTTGCTAGAGGCAAATGGTCCATGCCTTTGTCGGCAGCGTGCCGCCAAGCGCACGGGGCCTGGGCACGTGAAGGGGAAGGGAATAGCTGATGCAATAAGCAGGGAGCAGCACAGCGAGACCTGTGCATCAGTGTCCAGCTGTAAACACAGAGGGCAGGAGTGGTGGTGGCGGCAGTAGCAGCGGCCAGTGTGTAAATAATGGAAATAATAGAGATGCGCAGAATCCTTTGGTCGGCTTCCAAGGTGCGACTTCCTTCCTCAGCCTCGTTTGCATGTAATGGCTCATTAGGGCTCGTCAAGTTCTTCATTACTCATCCAGCTCACGTGTTTTTGTGGCAAGATGTGCTGGTGAGGGAAGGAGAGTCACACATTAACAGCAAGGTAAGGCAGGGGCCTCAGGATGTGCTACCCTGGCAATCCCTGTCAAGAAGAAACGACCTTAAGTAGGTGATCCCAGACTATCATCATCCTCCCTAGCATAGATCAGCCACAGCCCTCCAGTGAGCCACCAGCCAGCAGAGTTATTACACCCCGACCCTAGAGACCACCTTTCTGCATCCCCCGCTGTATCACCCCCATTTTCATTTGAAGCATGAGGCACGCTGTCCAGGGCTGTGCACTATCTCCCCCACTCAGCTCCTCTTAAATTGCTTGCTGTGTCTCTAGTGTCAGCAAGTGAGCATAACATCGCCATTTTTCAACGGCAAAGGGGACTGTGTGTGGTCGAAACACCATCTCTGAGAGCAGGGCACCTGCACCTCGCAGTCTGCCTTTGGAAATGCCACTGAGATAACAGTCCTTCTGATCTCTTCTGCTTCTGTCTTCTCTTGGAGGGAGACATTTCCAAAGTGTGTCCGCAAAAATATGAATCTTTGCCCCTTAAACAAAGCTTTGGAGATGGACATACATGTTACCTTGCTGCACAGATCAGCGTGTTCCTTCCCCCCTGCCTAATACAGCTGGACCTTTCTGGGTAGTCACGGGCAAAGCCTTTGTGCCTTCCTCGCAGAGTAGCCACTTGCTCATCCAAAGGGGAGCCCAGGCCTTCTGCCCCATCGTCTCACTATCGATGTAGCATCTTCTTGGCTCTGCCATGCTCAGAGCGACCTGTCACTGACTCCCTGCCCTGTTGTTTGAACTGGACAAGGGGGCATAGGAAGAGGCCGATGGTTGCAGTGATCCCATGCAGACCTTCTCTAGGAACAGAGCTGAATCAGGAGCCAGCAGCTATTTGAGGGTCATTGAAACAGGGTCTCACAGGGCTGAAAGCTTTCACGGACAAAGCAGCAACCACTCCCCACCCTCCCCCTCCAGCCAGTGCTATCTCTGACCACTGATAAATCTGAGGAGAGCAACTAGGACGCTGCACCTGCGCACGCTACCAGAAGGATGTCACAGATAAGAGCATTTTCGGTACTCCACGCATGTCTGAAACCAGGTTGGATGGGATCAAGGGCACCTGTGAGAGGAGATCAAGATGTGCATTTGTGTGACACCAGCACGCTTGATTTTTCCTTTTCTTCCCCTCACACGCACACAGACATGGAGTGCATGTTTAAACTTCGACCTTAAAGCAGGCGATTTATAGATCCGCAGGCACCTCCTCAGCGACCGAAACTTTCTATGGCAGCAGCAGAGTGTTTCTGGCTCCCTAATGCAGGGCAGCAGGTGCTGCTCAAAAGCCACAGGCACTGAACTGATGCAGCTCTGGCCCTCTCTAATAGGGGGAAAGGATTTCTTTTTCGCAGCATTTAACCATTCTGACCCAGCGAGGCTGAGCTGCGAAGGGACAACACAGCTCCATAAGCCTTAGCAACAGCAGCAGAAAAAGCCAGGTGTAGTGTCATTTTTCGGCAGGGAGGGTTTGGATCTCTGCTAATCCTGTCTTGCTGGTGGGGCTAGAAGGCTGTCCCTTCAGGTTATAAATCACTGGGCTGCCAGATTGCAGAAGTCTCTGGAAAACAACCTGTGAGCATGAGCCCCTTTCCAAGGTCTGTTTATCAGGGCTGAGACATCAGGTAGAAAATGTTCCTGTCATTTTGTTCCTTTAAGAAAACCGCCTAGCCCAGCAGGGGTTTTCCTAATATAGCCCTGTCCTGGAGAGATGTGTTGATATCAGCACAGCAGGTATTATAAACCACTTAGGAATCATCAGCCAGCCCCACTGTGCAATTGGTTGGGATTCAAAAGCTTGTGATTTGGCTCCGAGAGAATCCAGGGCTGGCAAGTGGCTCTTAGCTGGGCTGCTCCAGTTTGGCACCTCGAGGCCAGGTCTGCTAGCCAGGAAGTTGCTGGCACTGGGAATGTTTCACACCAGGAAGACTGTTTCCACAGCGTGACCTCCACTGATGCCGAGGGAGGGAGGATCCCGTGGTGTGCTGCTGGGGCTTGAGAGGCAAGGGGAAACCTCTGCATTTCAGGGATGTAGCTGTTGCTTTAGCATAATGGATGCTTGCTTTTCTCTCCGTCTCCTGCCGGTGCTGTTCAGAAGAGATATGCAGCGAGCCCCTACTCAGATGAGATCGTGATGGAAGTGGCTTCAGCAAAGCAGCAGGATGAACCGGAGATGCTGTGGGTGATGGGACCCGTCCTGGCCGTGATATTAATCATCATCATTGTCATTGCTATACTCCTCTTCAAAAGGTGAGATCCAGTCCAGGACATAGCAGTTATGGCACGAGCACTACAGGTGGTAGCACCTTCAAGACCCTCCTTGTAGCCTTCAGATATGGGGTGCTCTGATAGACAGTCCTTGGTGGTCATGGGGAGGAGGAAGGGTCTCTACCTGGTGGAGCAGAAGGCTGCTTTATAAAGAGAGCAGAAGGGCTGGGTATGCAGAAGGTAATTCATATCAGCCCCAGGACACAGAGCTGCTGTGGATTCTGGAAACGTGTGAGCAGTGGGACAGAGGAGAGCTGCTTTGTCCCTAAAGCCAGTCTGACTGCTCTCTGGTCTCACAGCTTGGATTTGCAGCCTTGGGGGCTTCTCTAGTACCGGTTTTCTGTGGAAATTGCCTGTTTGATGTCTGGCAGGTGCCCCCACTACTGTGAATTTTGACTGAGGAACGTGGTCTTCGTGGTGAGAACAGGGCATGGATGTGACAGGCTGAAATCAGAGTAGGAGCTCTCTTCTTGCCGCCTCTCAGTCCTGGCTACTGGGTCCGGATCATCCATGCTCTGTGCTCCCTGCTGAAGTAACCACCTGCTTTTGCGTAGCAGAGCAGTCCTGCTAGAGCTGTAACTGTAGTGTGAGATGATTGTTAGTCCTCCCGAGGAGCCACAGGTTGCATTTGCATGTGTTCGAGTAGCCTGTTCAATTACAGTAGGTCATTCTCTATCAGCTCAGCTTCAAGGTTCTGCTCCTCCTGGACCCCCTATTTACACATGTATCTGTAGCTCTGGGAAGGGAGCTGGCTTTGTTGTCTGATTAAATGGAGCTCTGCTGTGCATGTGCAGTCAGTGCCTTTCTGTGTCAGTGATCATCTCCTTTCTTCTGTTTCTGCTTTTCCCCGGATCTAGTAAGCAAGAAAGGTATGAATCCATTTTATCTTCTTGTTTTGCTAAAATTTCCAGTCTATTTCCTTTTGTAAAAATCAAGCCGGAAGCTACTAAGGGGCATCTTTGTTTTTGGGAGTGTGGGGCATGCCAGCCCTGGGGGTTTACAAAGACTTTGTTTCCTCAAAGGTATCAGCCTCCCAGCAATTGTCAGCCTCTCGTATCTCTTAGGGAGACAGTTCCAACATAACGACTTCCCAGATTGTTTCTGCAATTAAATTAAAAATCAAAAAAATGACAACACCAGCAGTTATAGGGGTTTCTTTGTTTTCTCAGTCACTTCAGACTACGAGCTGTTCTGTCAAGAATGCAGGTGCATTCTTGCCGTCTGTAATGATGAAGCTTTGAGGGAATACCAGGCAATTGTAAGAAACAAAGCGTTTGCTGGTCTTTAAGGAGAGAAAATGGCCCCAGCCGGGATTCTGTACTTGGGCCCCATAGACGCCGAGCTCAGCTTGGCTCAGCTTTGCTTTGTCCCAGAGTCTGGTGTGGGTGGAGCTCCAGGAAGCAGCACCAGCCCGCTGTGCTCAGACCTGACATTCACGTCCCTGCCGCGTCCTAGCCCATGCAGCAGCAGCATATCCCCTTCCAGTGCTACCCATGTGCTCAGAGGGATGCTGTGTTATCCTACAGTTTTTTGGTGTCCAGCTTCTCTTTGGAGGCATTTTCTCCCAAAGGTATCTGTGCAGCATATTCACAGTGTCAAATCTACAGTGGGAATGAATTGAACCTGAGTAGCACTGGATAGCTTGGGATTTGTTTAGCAGTTGCCCTGACTAGACTAATGAGAGAGACAAACGTTAATTATGTGCTGTGCCCATTCCCCAGAAAAGCTGGGCCACTTGGCTCAAGGGCTCAGGGTCTGGCACACAGTAGCACATGGCACATCCTGCTGTGCTCCTGATAGGAGAAACACTGCTTTATTTGTTTGCCATGTATTTTCCTTTCTTTCTATCAATGCTCTCACTCCTTCAGCTCTTTTGTCTCGGTCCAGGCAGCTAGAAGGCTTCTGAGATGTTGAGATGACTCAGAGCAGCGTAAGACTCAAAAGCTGGTCCTCCCCATTGAACAACTCCAGTGTCTGATGCAGCCATGGGCTGCAGATGGAGCTTGCTCACAGTCGGGGCCACAGCGGGAACACAGGTTTCACTCGTGATTTATGCACTAAATTTTCCCTAATTGCTTCTCACTAGTGCCAGTCCAGCATGCACAGCTCCCTGTGGAAGTGATAGTACCCTGTGCCTGTGCGGAGCGTTTCTGGTCACGCGGGTCTCAGGGTCACCACCATCCAGAGATGCAGCTGCCTCTATGCAGAACCTGGCAGTCCTTCAGGGTGCTTCGAAATGCCTCACAAGGGTGTAGAAAACAGAGACTGACTCTTGCAATTTGCAGGATGGTAAATGTGCTAGCATTCGTGCAGAGTAGCATTGATGCAGCTCCCTCTCTTCCAGAAAACATCAGGTCAGCGGAGAGGTTCACCATCAGGCAAAATCCATTTTGGGGCTGTAGCCAAAAGACAAAGTCTCTGTGTATTGCTGCATGCTCAGCACGTTGGCAAAGCATCAGGGTCGGCACAGACTCAGAAGAGAGTACTGCTGTCCGGCTCCTGCCCAACACCCCTCTAGTGCATGGGTATATCCACTATATGTGTAATACAGAGCAAGAAGTGGGACTTAAAGAATTGCTAGAAACCCTTCTTGCAGTATTAGATTTTCCTTAATATTCACTTGTCCACTTTTTGATTGGATCTGTCCCTGCTTTGCCTGTGAATTCTAGCAAGAGCCTGAGGTGGTGGCATTGCTCTAGGCATAAATATAGCATGAAGAGACAACAGTGTGTTTTATTGTTCCATTAATACACGCCTTGGGTGCCTTCAACCATTCAAGACATGTATTAATGGCCCAATAAAACACACCCCAAAGAGCCTTTACACTATTATATTACAGCATTCTATATTTAAATATTTCTAATACTTGAAAAAAAAAATTCTATTATATCCTTCCACTACAGGAAATAGTTCCTAGAGAGAGTAAGAGGAAACAACACCTTGCATCTATCTGCTTTTTCTCTAACAAATATTACACAGAATACCACATTTCAAAGTGCCTCACTAATCAAACCTCTGCCATCCTTCCTGTTTCATAGATGGGAAATTGGAGGCATGGAAGAGGATGTGACTTGCCCAGAGCTCCAGGGAGCCTGGGATGGAGCTGGGTATCTGGGATGCGGGGACCCAGACTCCTTCCAAGGGTGGTACATGCCGGTCTGTGCCAGAGCTCACCTGCTTGTCTCTGTCCTCTCTGTCCATAGGAAAAGGGCACACTCCCCATCTTCCAAGGATGAGCACTCCATCGGCCTGAAGGACTCACTCTTGGCCCACTCCTCTGATCCGGTCGAGATGAGGCGGCTCAACTACCAGACTCCAGGTAGGGAGCAGCTAACCCCCTTGCACCCTACCTCCTCCGGTTCCCCTTCGCCAGGTCCCCATGCCAGAGGAGGAGTTGCAGTCCTCCCCCCCAGCAGCTCTGCACCTTCTCAGTCACAGTGGCACAGAGGGGGCTTAGACCGAGGATATCCAGGTGTCTGTTCTCTGGTCTGCAAATCCTTCTCCCTGGCCCTGTCACTGCAGGCACACAAGCCTGGGGAACCTGGACAGGGACCGCCTAGCATGTGATGTGTGTCGGACCTTACATGAAGCTCACTGCAGTTGTCCTGAGCCAGGAGGAGCCTCCATGCAGAGTTGAGAGAGCTCATCAGTGCTGACTCTCCTGCTCTGCTCAGCTAAGGGTGAAGAGAAGAGCTACCTGCAGCCTACATCGCTCCCCAGCCAGTGCTGTGGCCCAGTGAAGGGTGCTGCTGGTCACGGTGGTCTCAGCACAGAGGATGATAGTTCAGTAAAAGCTGTTGCTCTCTGCATGCAACTGTTCACTGCAGAGCATCTCGTCATGCCTGCACTGGGCTGTGGTCCCTCAGGATGTAGCTAGTTTGCCAGCCTACGGAGGCAACTGTTCTTCGCGCTGCAGAAAGGTCTCGTGCTGCTGCTTTTTGTCTGTACATCTCTGATGGCACTGAAAGCACAGTACCTGTCATTGTAATGATCAGAGACAGGCTCGCCCTGACTCGTTCAGAGCCTTTCAGAGAGTCCAAGTCCTAGATGAAGCAGGGGAGCGCTTGGGCTTTTGTGATGGAGGGAACAGTTCAGCAATAAATGAGGCACACACAGCTCTCTCCTAACTTGCAGCTCCTCCTGGTCTGTAACCTACTTTCCTTTTCCTCCTGCTGCTCATTCATCTAAGAGCTTTCATCTAACAGGAGAGTTTTGAAGGGACCATTTCCTGATGTAAACCTGCTGTGTCTGGGAGGGAGGGTAAGAGGAGCCTTTTCTGTTGCCGCTCACAGCAGTCTGGCTCAGACCTGGGGTGGGCTTCACCAGCACATCTTCCTCTGTGCCAGAGCAGCTGTCAGAGATCCGTAGTTAGTGCATCTCCCAGGCAGGACCGATGGCAGATCTCACAGGCAGGACGCAGCGACAGCCTGGCAGTTGCCAGCAGACCTGGCCCGTTAATTGGCCACAACACAGACCAGCGTGGTATTGCAGCATGGGAGGAAAATGCTGTGGGGAGCAAGGGAGGCACCTGTGCTGGAGGAAGAAAATCTCAACAGGCAGATCACTGAGAGCAGCAGTAGGTGAGGAGGTCACGCACAGTCAGCAACAGCATGCAGCTGCTTGAGGAGGAGCAAGGTGTTGAACAGGCTGCTCCAGGACAGGCCTCTGTGACATGTCTCCACTGCCCAGGGACTCAAGAGCCATCTTTGCTGTATGCTTGTGGTTTACATTGGATGGAGGAGTGTGACAGGTCAGGCTTGCGCCTACTCCCATCTCCAGTGAAATTGGGGTGTTTGCAACAAGGGCATCCCTTGCTAGAGCTGTAGAATAGGTCAAGAGCTGCCATCAGAGAGAAGAGGGATCTGGGAAATTTTCTTTTCCTGCCTGTGCCTGAGGATGAGCCAAAGAGGCTGGCTCATTCAGAAACTTTGCAGAGCTCTCTGGATAGATAAAAACAACCCAAAGTGTGGGCACTGGGTTCACTAGAGACAGCAGCGGTGCCCTGGGACACTGCTAGCCAACGCTCCCCCACCAAGTGTCAGCACTGTGTCCTCCTCCTCTCCTCCCCCTGGCATCACTTGTGAGGCTCTGCAGGGTGGAAGCGGGTGTTGTGCAGCTGAAAGTGACTTTCCAGCTCCTCATGAGCTTGTCCTCATTAATGAGGAGGCATGAAAACCACCAAGCCCAGTGGGCCCATGCTGTTGCCCCTGTCACCCACCCGAGGTCGAGGCGGTGCTGTGTGGATGCATTGACAAGAGGTGCTGGCCACTGGCCCTGCACGCTTCAGTAGCTGGTCTCCCTGCTGGCATGTGCTGAGCAGGGAAAACTTGTTTAATGCATAATTAATTGGGCTACTGTTATTAAATATTAAACTTTCTCATTTTTGTGGTTTTTACTTCAGACAAGGGTTATTTCCCCCACTGTCAGCCTCCCTGTACTAGCGTACCGCTGTGCCAAGTCGCTGAGAGGATAAGGGACCGGGCAGTGTCCCAATACACCACGGAATGAGGCTGAGTTGTGCTGCTGATGAGCTGTGAGCAAGCCGGAGGCTCAGGGGCACTGAGCAGAGATTGCTGGGGCTGAGCGCAGTCCTCCTGGCCACCAAGCAGCACAGATGTCCCCTCTACCTGCCATCCGCCTGCCCTTGCTGGCTCCCCTTGGGCACGGGGCCATGGACAGTGGTGTGCAGTGAGAAGTGTAGCTCTTGGTGTCAGATGAATATCTGTGCGCTCGCTCCCCTGTGAGTACCTCCAGCTCCACATGTTTGTCAGCGTCAGGGGATGGTGCTGGCCAGAGCCAAAAGCCTGGTGCGTAATGGCCAGCTGCAGAGCAGCCCCCAGGGCCAGGCAGCTGGTCCTGTGCAGGAGGGAGGCTCCGGGTGCTGTGGCAGATGGTGCTTTCCTTTGCATCTTCATCTCTTTGTCTTTCCATTTCTGAACCTCTGCAATGATGACTGAAGGCTAATGGGATTTCTGTTCTTGCCCCATTTCTTTTCTTTGCAGGTGCCAGTGTCCCCAGTTGCCCGAATATCTCAAGTTAGTTTTAACTCCTCTATTTATCTTTTGACACCTTTTGCTTTTTCTTTCCCTTTCTCTCTCGTCTCTGTAATTTTTGTTTCAATGTCATGAAGGTCACCCTCACTCACAGCAGACTGTAGAACAGCAGTGATTTCACTTTCTGACATGACATGTGGGGCCAAGCTCGGGTACTGTTTGCACGGCACTACAGCAGCTCACCGCAGCGCAGTGCAGAAGGGAAGGCCCGGGTGCTGGGCTGCCAGGAGGCTCCTGCAGCAGCCCTTCGCCTGCTCCTAGGCCTCCTGCCCCCTTGCAGTGGCATACCAGGCTCTGCCGTGGCAGCAGGCCTGCAGCTGGCCCTGCGTGGGGACAGATAACCTTGGCTATTCTGGAGGGGGTGGCCAGCTAAAAAACCCCTAATGGACAAATTGAAGGGTGCTCTGCAGCCCAGTGGTTGAACACACTCTCCTCCTTACCTTGGGCAAACTGGCTTCCCTAGGCTGGGTCACCTGTGCCGTAGAGTTAGGCAGAACGGATGCCAAGGGATGCTGATCTCTGAACTGCCGTGCAGTTGGTCTGCTTGGCAGTGTTGGCACCGGAGTCCCAGGCACAGAGCAGAGGGACTTAACTGCTCTAGCAGGTTGGGTGGAGTAGTACCAGGACTATGGGTGTAACTGCCCCTTTATCTCTTGTCTTGTGAGCTTCAAGTTCACTCTCAAACAACCATAAAAGTGTGTCCTCCCTGCTGCTTGATGTACAAGGCATCTGCGTGTGCACGCAGGAATGGGAGAAGTACGTAGGATAGATGCTTCCCCCAGGTGCAGAGCCAAGAGCTTTGCACTCTGCAGCCCTGCAGGCATTGTGAGACCTCTGAGCTCTTCTAGCCTGGCGGAGAGTTCACTGTCCTCTTGCCAGAGTCATTGGAAGAACATGTAGAAGTCCTGGTAGTGTGTACAAATCTCCTCTGTCTTGCCCTGTTCTGTCCATGGCAGTTGTTCTAGGTCCACCATAATGGGATCCCAAACACCCGTTTCTCCCCATCTGCTCCTGCAGCGACCTTTTTTGCTGCAACACTCCTTTGGCCAGCAAAACTTTGGAGACACCCGCTTGTATTTCTCAGCAGAGATGAGTGTCTGCAGCTCCGCTGTGGTCCATGGCTATGCCGTGCTTCATACATAACCATGTTAGGATAAGCACATACTGTGGCTATGTTCCAGCCTCTTTCTTCTTCCAGCCCCACACTTCTGCCTTGGTCCCACACTGTTTTCCTCATTCAGTTGCTCATCAGTAACAGCTCTGCACTGCAAAGGCTGCTCCTGAGCTACAGCCTCTGGAGCTCTGGCACCAATGAGCAAATTGTGCACAAATCAGAGCATCATCTTTGTGGGCCTGCTCAACCACCTTCGGGATCCTGATGGGTGAAGTGGCAAACAGAGGACCATTTGCAGGAGGACCTCAGCACAAGGCAGAAGAGGGATCTTTCCTTCTCCATCTGTCCGTGTGCTCTCAGGCCATCCGTGGATAGGTCTGTGCTGTCAAGTGATAGAAGGATGAGTGTGTGTTGGATTGGGTCTTGCCTATATGCAGCGACGTCAGATGTTTTTGGCAGAGGTGTGAGGAGCCCTGCTATGCAGTGGCTGCGGTGTAACACTTCCATGTTACCACCTAGTGACTTGTCACCGCTGTGTAAAATGCACGTACCCAGTCTGGGGACTGCTCCATCACCTCAGTGGCCCATCACTGCCATCTGTGGCAGCGTTCAGGCTCCTGAGTGATTGAGAAGCTCCTGGCCATGCTCCAGCTTGTCTCCCTGGGTATGAATCAACAGCTTCAGCCTATTAATAATCATTATTACCCACGTGGGTTTTCTGGGAAACCCACAGAGCTGCCGATGGAGTCACAAGCCTTGGGATTTGGATGAGCCAGCCTTTGGATGAGAAGTTTCACAGCCACGTTCCTGCCAATTCACCGTCTCAGCTTCAGAAAAAGAGGTTGTGATGGTTGAGCCCTGAATCCCAGGGCCCCAGTAGGGCGTCTCCCAATCCCACATGTGCACCCCCACAGTACCCATCCCCTGTGCAGGACCTGTGGGATCCCCTCCTCTGGGCCTCTCCCCTGAGCAGGACTTGGGCTGTGCCCGGGATGAGCCATACTGCGCATCCCTGCTTTAGACAGGGCAAGACTTCTGCCATGGCTTGAGCTGCATCCCAGCTTGCAGCAGCCTCGCAGAAGCTGCTGTAGGGCACGTCACTGCACATGGTGCCTTGCACGAGCCAGCCCAGTGGAGCTGGATTTTGGGCCCTGGAGCTGGCTCTGCCTCCGGAGCACCACTGAAAAGCACTGAGTTACACAGCTGCGGGCAGAGCTTCTCCTCAGCTCTTGGAAAGTTGTGCAATCGCCAACCAGGGGAGCAGCCGTTCCTCTGTGGGCCCTTCCCATCTTTCTCTAGCTCCCCAGGGCTGGGGCAGCGTCTGCCTACCCAAAAAGCTGTGTACGTACACCGCAGAGGTTCCCCCTGGTGCAGGTCTGAGCGAGTTCCTTTTTGGCTAATGCCATTGTTAGGGGTAAGCAAGAGGATCAGCCTCAGCCCTTGGTGGTGAGAGTGCCAGAGAATGTGTGTTCAACTTCAGCCCGTGCGGGAGCCCGGGAAGCCCACTGACAGTGTCTCCTCGGCCCGTTCCTGCCGGGGGCTTGCCCGAGCCCCTGCCCGCTGCGTGGCCTGCTCTGTGTGCCCGGTGGCTGTACTGTCCGAGCATGCTCACCTGGTCATGCACATTCTGCACATCACCTTTCTTTTTTGTTTCGCCGAACCGTGTGCTCTGAGAGTGCGTGCAGCATGCCGTGTGATTTCGCCGACTTCCCATCCATCCCGCCCAGCGCTTCACATAGTCACACATGTCCGCCTTGCACCCACCTTTCGGGTTTGCTGTGCACATGCTGTTGTTGAGCCTTCCTCGGCCGTGCAGAGCCGTAACCGTTTTCCTCTCCCTCCTCCCTCCTTGTCTCGCTCGCAGGCATGCGCGACCACCCCCCCATCCCCGTGACGGACCTCGCCGACAACATCGACAGGCTGAAAGCCAACGACGGGCTGAAGTTTTCCCAGGAGTACGAGGTGAGCGTGAGAGCCTGCCGGGCGGTGGGGGCACAGCGGTGCTGGCCAGGACCCCCAGCAGAGAGGGTTTGAAAGCTGAGCCGTGCCTCCCCCGCACCAGCATCGCCTGCGCGGGCCCTGAGCCAGGCCTGGGAGCCTGCCAGCTCTCCCCGCCAGCCCCAGAGCGGTGGGAACTCGCCTTGAGCAGTGGAAGCATGGCTTGTACAGGGAAGAGACCTTGCAGCTGAATGCGCAGCAGCCTGCCGTGCTCCCACCATGGTTACGGTCTTAGGAGTGAATGGGAGCTCGTGTCGACCCACCTGGGCTGTCGCTGTTTACTTTGTTGTTTTGCTCCGCGAGGGCTGCCCTCTGTGCAGGTTGGCTGAGCTATTTCAGTCCACAGCATCCCGTGCCCCTTCACTTCCATCTGCATTCTGCACCATCCTCTGCTGCTGACAAACATGCAATCGGGTTTTCATTCCTTCTCCCGACCTACTCTCCCCCTGCACGCTGCTGGTGGCATTAGCCTGTACTGTTCTCTGCCACTGGAAACTCTGCTAATGTCCCGCTGCCCTGGAGCGGTCCCAGCTCCCCTCCATGCATGGAGGTGTCTGCCTGTGCCCTGCAATCCTGAGCTACAAACTCAGCACTGCTGAATCACACTCCTGCCCTCCTCCGTGTCTCCGGTGGAGCCCCCAGATAGGCACTGTCCGCACCCGCCACCGATGCTGCCTTTGCTCACACACGCAGGCAGGCGCTGGGTGTTTGGTGAAGCCCCCCATCCTGCACTGCACCTCTCCCAGCCTCACCCCTCCATTCCCATCCTCCCCTGAGGACAACTGGCCGAGGGGGTGCACATGTGGAAGGGAAGGGGCTGACCTGCACGAGGGCTGCCTTGCCTTTCTCGCCACTCTCCAGGCTGGATGATTAGGTTGAAAACTTGTAAAGTCAGGGAAAGTTCCTCTGCAGCTGTGAGAGCAGCGATGGCAGGATATGTGCTTTTCTGTGCTTACGTGCAGGACCCTCTTGAGCTGCAGGGGACTTGTAAATAAACCCCCCGCTAGTATTAAAGAGGGAATAATAAATTTGGGAAGTGTCCTTTGCATGTGTTATCACTTCTGTTTGAATTGTTATCTGCCTGTGCCTGTGGCCTCCCCTTCCTGCAGCATACCTACACTGATTTATGAGATGAGATCAGAACATTTGCCCATGAGGTAGCATTATATATGCCAGGAAAGGGAAAGCAGATCTCTGTGCTGAGAAGGTAAGGGATGGATTCCAGCTAGTTCAAAGGGTGTGCTGCATATATCTGAGGAAGGCGCAGAGCTCCTGTTTGTTTCAGGATGCCAAGTGGAGGGCTTTGCCATCCTTCTCCATACTGCTGTCTAGACCAGAGAGAAGCTGAGCTTTCACCAGCTGCAGCATTACGTCGCAACTTGGGAGATGTTTAGAGAAATAATATGCTTCCCTTGCAGTTACCTGTGTGTTCATGTATGTCCTGCCAGTAGTGCCAAGGTATGCAGTCATATCTGTCTGCCTTGGGCTTTTTGTTACAAGTCCAGCTGAAGCGTTAAGCGGGGCTGTCCATTGCGCTACAGGCAGGCTGCGCTCCCATCCCCGCACTAGGCCTGTGCCGGTTGGAGCCTGCAGCGTAATGCTGAGCTGTGGGAACTGTTTCGGAAAAAACGAGCATTAAGTAAATTCTCTTAGCTGTTTTCATGAGCCTCTCTCTTCTCATTTCTCTTTCTTTAGAATATCATGGCTGGTTGAGAGCACTAATCAGTTGTACTTTTCATGTTGAAGCAGCTATTAAGTAGGTGATTGTTGCATGTAATTTTTTTCCCCTGGATTCTGCTGCATTTGACTCCTCATCAGCTAGAAATTACTGAACATGACAGGCTCATACGGTGTTTGATGCTAGGATACACCCCAAAGCAGAAGTGGTTGCCCCTTGTTGGCATGTGGGGATCAGTACAGTCATTTCCCATTTGAGATGCCAGTGAGAAAAATCCTGGACTGAGTTTGCAGAGAACGCCAGCTGCCTGTGCAGGGTTGCTGCAGCGATGGGTCTGCTCTCGTCCTGGTCCCTGTGTGCTCAGGTCTGGCACAGCAACAGCTCTTTTGGGGGCCTGTGGTGGGAGGGCTGGAGGGCAAGATGGGCACGGCATGCACTGCTGAGTAAGGGAGTCTGCAGAGTGGATGCGGAAATAGTGGAGGTGGGAAGGGAGCAGGTTGTGCAGCCCCTGCAGGGAGCTCGTGCTTCCTGGCATGGGGAGAGGCAGGGAGCCACAGCTCACCAAATTCTGTGCAATTGCAGTCATTGAGTGATGATACAGTCCCGGCACTCACCCTGGGACTCTGTGAATCCGACCTACGCAGAGCTGAGTGGTGGGTGACCCAGCGCTTCAAAGGATGCAGGCCCTGACCCTGTTTCCCTATGGCATGATAGTGCTGCTGGGCTGGGCATAGCACAGCTGAGCAGGGAGAGCCGAGGGCGAAGGCATCACAGATGAACCCCCAAGGCCCATTTGCTGTTTGATTGTGCTTTGGAATTGTTGCATTTTAAGTGTTTTTGCAGAGCAGCCTAGCAGCCTAACATCTCCGTGGGGTGCAGGGCTGTTTATAGATGGCTCACATTCCAGGAGCAGTGGCACCCCAGGCGGAGAGCAAATATTTAACAGCACTTTTAACCACTGAGGCCAGCTGCCCAGAGCCATCAGTCTGGCGCTTGCCTTGGTTGTGCAAGCGATAGCAGGGTAACCTAGACACAGGTGACACAAAACAAGACCTGTCAGCACCTCCCCGCACGCCTGGGAAGGGAGCAGGGAGGGTGGCAGAGATTTCTCAAGAGCTGTCTGGCCTCCATTCCTGCAGGTCAGAGAACAAATAATATTGCTCACACCAGTTTGGCAGCCCACACGGCCAAGTAGCCTGTGCAACAAAGCCAGCACGGAGAGAGCTGTGCACTGGCTGCAGCGACAGCAGGCTCCCGAGCTGCAGGTTAGCCCTCACCCCCAGCCGGCAGGGAGCAATCCCAGCTGGATCTGCTGGTACCCCTGGTGCGAGAGGAGAGATTGAGCTGCAGGTGCTGGGAGCTGAGCCGGCTGCAGGCACGTTTAACTCTGCTGCCGGCCGCTCTGGCATGGGGCAGAGCACAGGCCCACCACGCTCTCCCAGGCATGCAGCAGAGCTGGGGGGAGCAGAGTGCAAGGGTCTGGCAGCAGCTCCTGGCCCGGCCGCACCAGGAGAGTATTTCATTTTTAGTGTACAGTGAGAGCTACAGTGAATTTACAGTGTGGGATTAATGGAATTAAATAAGTAGAAGGGAGGCTGAGCCCCTTAATTACTTATCTGCAGGCTGTGGCGGGGGGGCTGCAGCTGTGTTGGAGCTCCTCCTGTGGGCCACCTTCCTATGCTGCAGCCCATGGACGTGGGGCAGGATCCTGCCCTCAGATAGGGAGTACCCACACTGGTACAAACAAGTGTGCACACGCACCCCGCATCTCGCACTTTTGCTGCGGGATCCAGCAAGCCGAGCGCTGCTGTCCCCTTTGTTGCTATTAGTAAACATGGGACAGAGTGGCTCCAACTAGGGCTGGTTCCTGCTCCGTTGTGGCTGCTGCCATTTCTGGGCTAGGTCCTGCACCACCTTCCCAGAAGAAAATTTTTTTCCTTGCATCCAAACTGCAACTTGTGGCCATTGCCCCTCATGCCCAGTCCCTTCAGCATGTCCCTCCAGTTGACAGCCCTGGGAGCAGAGCAGGCTGGAGGTGATGAGAGCCAGGCAGCGTGCCGCTGCCTGGCACATTCGTCCCTGGTAATCTTTAGGCTGTGCGTGAGATTTGACTGTGCTCCTGCCTCCCAGCGTGGTGGGGAGGCTGCAGCCTCTTCCCCACAGTTTTGTATGGAGAGAAACTGCTGGCCTGCCCAAACCCCATGTCCACTTGCATTTCCCTTAAAGCCACTGAGGACATTGCATTTGCCATGCCTGCAGCCCTGGCAAGGCAGCTTAGGCAGCAGGAGGGGTGCTTGGGTCCCTGGGGTGAGCCCAGGAGGTGCTGGACCCAGGGGCCAGGTAGCACCCGGGGAGCCGTGTGTTGTGGGTTTAATGGGCTAATCGGGAAGCTGCCTGGCAGACACGCAGCACTCACGTTCCGGTAATAAGAATAATAAGGCTGAAGTGCTGCCAGAGATTGATTCAGGAGCACATTATGTCCTCATTTGAGACGCAGCGCAGATTGACAGTGGTCAATGCCTGTGCTAATGTGCTTGATTTCACAGGAGGCCGGGAAGCACTCACAGCCCGAGCACCTTCCGCTCCCCATGCCTTTGTGCAGCCGCCT